CTCACCCCAATAGCCTGTATGGTGTATAGTGGAACAAACTTTACTTTATTTATCAAACTTGGTTCATTGGAATAGTGTTGGCTAAGCTCTGGTCTTTATTTGTGAACAGAGTTTTGCCTTCAGAAACATCATATGTGTCTATGAATGTTAGAAGATTCAACTGCAGTGTTTTGGGGATCATTTTTAATCCCTGTTCCTTTTTAATTTTGTTTAAGGTGTTCAAGAAAGTATGGGTTGCAGAAGGTGCTGAGGGTGATGTCATGCGTGTGGTTTACCGCATGAGGGGTCTACTAGGAGATGCCACTGAGGAGTTTGTGGAAACATTATATGCCAAGAGTGAGCAGGAAGTGAATAATGAGGAGGTATACAAAATGGCCAATGTGATGGCTGACTGTGGAGGCCTGCAGGTTTGTTAAATAACACTTATATATGTATGCTGAGTTTTTTATGAACATAGATTCCAGAAAATAATTACTTCATAGGTTAGCATATGAGCTGATGCAAAATTTAGGTTGGTTTGTGCCTTAAATGTGTTTTCAAAACATGAGAGTCAGCTGTATGATTCTAGTCTTACAGATATGATTTGGATTGTATATGTTCCATATTCTTAGCAGCCTGTCCATAGTAATTTGAATTTGAGCTTCCATAGAAACTGTCACTACTCTCGACTGACTTGTAAAAATGTAATAGATATTTTCTGGCTGGTCAGACTATACTGAGCAGTCCTTATGACTTTCTCAATTTTTCCAAATTCTTAAAATTTCTGTGTTTTATATAGTGACTTATTTCATACTGGGCTAATTTTTTTTATGGAGACTTGTTTACTTAACATTTGTAGTTCCTCATTGATGTTAATTTGTATGCAGTATATGCTTGGAGATAAATAGTGTGATCTGTCAAAGTTGACAGGAATACAGTTTATTGCAGCATTATCTTTGTGAATCACATTCAGATTGCAAAAATTATACAAGTTTATAATGTAAGTAAAATGTGAAAACTTCATCACAGCAACTGAAAGCAGATTCTTGCCAAAAACAGACTCTGCAGACCCCGCCATAGGTGTTACTGTAGGTTCTTTTACATTTCTTGCTATTATTTTATTTGTTAACACAGAATGCTTAATATGCTTAACAATATCTTTGTATTGTCACAGATGTTGGCATCTGGTGACTGGCAGGGGTGGCATTTTACCAGGGGAGTCTATGAAATTATTTAAGGAATAAGGAAGTATGATGGGTGGTATGGAGAGGGGTGCTGTATTGAGGTTTGACTGTATTTAGGACTGCCTCAAGTTTCAAGATACTTTCTAGTTACCTTTGTTGTGTGTCAGTATTTGATTGATAAATGATGTACATCCAGTGACTGGTAAAATGAAATTTTATTTTTTGATTTAGCTACTATGCCTTGAACACTGTACTTTACTGAAGACTGAAATGTGTTTTATTATACTAAATGTTATGTTTTAGATCATGCTGGATCGATTGTCTGCCATCAAGGATATCAACCGTGCTCGACCACTACTCCAAGTTCTGCTGAAGTTGTTTAGATTGTGTGTGAAAGTCCAGCGGAACCAGGAAGTCCTTACACAGCCTGAACTAGGTGCCATTGGTATCTTCCTGGGCATTTTACAGGTGTGCCTTGCAGGAGAGACTGATGCTTTACAAGCAGCCATTACTGAGCAGTTACTTGATGTAAGTTCTTCATGTTACACTCACTTCTGTGTTAACTTCATTTCATTCACTGCAATGTGTTGAGGAGTAAATAAGTCCATTTGCTGCAGCTGGCTAGTTCTGCTTTAATAAATTAATGTCTAGTAAGTTCCCTTTTGATTATACTGTATTTTAATACTTTCTGTTTACAGTAAACTTATGTTGGATCACCAGCTTCTATAAGTATGCATATTTTATAAACTGATTCCATGTAGTAGAGTCCCTCTTGAGATGCTGATAGTACAGTCAGCTAGTCAAGAAAATTCCCCACCTCATATGGAACTCAGAATAAGTGTATTATTGTGTTCACAAATGTCCATGAACATCCCCTGTCCCTAGCCAGTCTGCACCTTCGTACTTTACTTCCCAAAGATCCATTATAATATGATTCTCCCATCAATATCTAGGTCCTAAGAGTGATCTCTTTCCTTCAGAATTTTTAACAAGAATTTTATATGCATTTCTCATCTCTTAAATGTGCTGCATGCCTTGCCCATCTAGTCATCCTTGTTCTGATCATCCTAATAACAACTGGTAATGCGTACAAATTATGGAGCTCACCAGTGTACAGTTCTCTCCATCCTCCTGTTATTTTATCCCTCTTAGGTCCAAATATTCTTCTCAGCACCCTGTTCTAAATGCTATCAAACTGAGAAAGAATATGTTTGTGACTTGCAAGCACACAGCGTATAGTGACTGAGACTTCTGCTTACAAAAGATGGCTTATAATAAGCAATCAGTTGAATGGTGGAAAAATCTGTAACTTCTCATTTCAGATAATGCTAAAGGTGTCAAGAATGTTGTATTTTTGTTCACAATTTTCATACCTCCATGATAACCCTACCCACATTATTTTTTTTAACCCATTATGCCATATATATGTAATTAGAAGGTAGGAGATGGTCTTGAAAATTATGTATATCAACCTTTTTTATAGTATGAGTTCCCATTAGGACTAGCATTCTTCCAAATTTTGTAAATTCTCGTGTTGCACTATAAACATTTTATTTAAATGTGAGAGAAAAATTGAAGTACCTTTATGACTGTTCTGTGTATTCTGAATTGTAGATCATGGAAACAATTCTTGCAAAGGCAGCATCTCAGCCATTAGAGTCCTTTTTGCATTTCTCACAAACATTTGGAGGCAGTGAACATATCAGAGCTCTCCTGACTTGTACCACAGCCCAAGGTGTACGCAGCAATTCAGCTGTCCTCCTCCATCTGTCACGTGTTTTAGCAGCATTGACTTACGGAAATGCTGAGAAGATGGCACTTCTCTGTGATCACTTTTCATCTGTGACTGATTTCAACAGATTTGATTTTGAGCATTCCCTGGAGGATGAGCACAAGGTATTAAAAATATAATTTTGTAATGGCATGCACAAAGAATTATCTCAGAATTGGCGTAGGGTTTTTAAACCAGTGTTGGATATTGCCTATCCAGATCTAAATGTAAAATGACCATCAGAAATCAGAAAACAGTGTGAAAAAGTTTGATGAAGAACAATATCTTGCAGATTTAACATATAAGTTTTTCACACCTGCAAATTTTATTATTTATTTTCTCTTTAGAATTTAACTAATTAACTCAAGAGACGACCTTTCAGAACCATAGAAAACAGCTGGAAAAAATTGCTTTATTTACTGGATCTTGATCTCTGATGTTTTTGAATGAGATTGATTAGTGTAAGTTTTCTGATCAAATTTTCAGAATACATTCATTGTGACCTCAGTTGAGTTTGATAATGTTGTTTTGAGGTACTTAAATCTGTAAAGATGTTGAAATAATTTAATTTTTATTGCACCTCTTGCAGATTTTGGCTTCATAACATGTTGATACATTAATCTTTTTCTTTCTGAATTTAATATGTTAATTTGGGTCAAACTATATTTACTTGTACATACATTTATTTTCTTGCTTGTAAACAAATCATTTGCAGTATTGATGTTCTCCCCCGACAGATTTCATTCACCAATTCTGTATTAGTATAAATTTAAACCATTCAGTTCAAACATTGTTGTATTTTCTAAGACTTTCTAGAGCAGAATTTAAAAATGTGTTCTGAAAAAGTATCCCCTTGCTTTGGCCATTATGAACTGAATATATGTAAGAAAAATTGATACCTCATGCATACATGTTTTGGTTAATCTAACAACTTTCATGGATGTTCTGAATTCAGGTGCATGCAGTCCATACTCTTGTAATAACTTCATTTTTGTTTTGTAGCTAGAGCTTTTGTGCATCTTGACAGCAGGTATTGAACGCAATGCTATTGGCAATACATTGAAAGATCACATAATCTCACTGGGCATTGTGAGACAGGCATTGGAATACATTACAGTAAGTGGAATATCATTAAATATTTATGATGATCAGTCAGCTGTTATTAAAAAAAAAAGGAATGTAAAATAGTTGGATTTAGGCATTGGAATACATTATACTAAGTAGAATATCAGAAGAGAATATTTGTAAGTATAAATCAGCTGTTATTTAAAATGGAATAAAAACTAATTGAATTTAGGCATCAGAATACAACACCGTAAGTTGCATATCAAAAGACAATATGTATGATTATCAATTGCTTTTTATTTAAGAAAATTAATGGAAACTAATTGGATTGTTAATGTTTTCAATATTAATTTTGTGCAAATGATAGGCATATTGGCTCTGAATGACTGAAATTCCTGGACTCGTAACTGTGACTAGTTGTGTGATTTTATATCTTCATATTTATAATCTTCAGTACATTCTTTACAGTCACACATCATTTATATGAAATCTTACATATTAAATCCTTTGGTGATCTTATTGCTGTGCATGTGTAGCATATGTCTTCAGTCACTGTGGTAAACTGTAACTCATGTCAGTGATAGATTTTTTATCTATATTTAGCTTGCTTAGCAGTTTTAGATTATGCAAAAGAACAGACCCAAGAACAAATTTTATGGAAAGATAGAATGTTGGTTAAAAAAGGAACAAATTTTGTCTCTGCTATTGATGTATTTTGATTTCTTGCAGATGCATGCACCATGTGTGAAGCCCACATTAATGCGAACTGACAGTGATGATTGGAAAGAATTCATTTCAAAGCCAGCTCTAAAGTACATCTTGCGCTTCCTCACAGGGCTTGCTACTGAACATGAGCCCACTCAGGTGAGAGATGTGTGGTAACATATCTAATATGTATAATACACGTATGAAAGTAATTAACATCATAAGTTTCAGACATGATGTCACATGGCTGACAGTTTGTTGTACTGAAACAGACAGATCTGATCCATCTTAATGTTGTCCTCGCATATCCTCGATCATACAAGTGGTCACTTTCTAAACATTTCCTCCACTGAAAGCAGTCTTCCTTATTATGTGATATTAAAAGTAACATGCTTATTTTACTTTCCTTTATCAAGGAATATTTTCCTGATCATTTTATTTTTGTACACTAGTAATTTATTTCACAACCTTGCATTATGCTGGACAGAAGTGTTGAGTATGTGATATATATTGATCTTGGTGTTGTGTAACATAAGATACAACATTGTGTGAGTGTAGCACTAAAATTGTGAGTCATGTCATGACTCCCTCATACTCTGCAAGAATTCCATAATAATGTCATTACTTTTAGTCATCATTGAAGAATTTTGAGTTACGTAGCAGCCTTCAGTCAATGCGTAAGAATTCAGAGTTATATTGTGGTTGTTAGCTAATATGTAAGAACTCTTAGACATTGTAAGATTTTCATCTAACATATAAGAACTACAAGTCATGGCCCATTAATTTATATAAGAAATAAAGATTCAGATCATCTCACAATTTTCAATTAATGTGTAAAGATTTGTAATTTTTCACCACTACTGTCTATTCTAGTCTGGATAGTAAGATGAGGTGTCTCTCAAATTCAGCATTTCAACAAAAGGGTTATTTAAATTTGTGTTATTCTTGTCATTATTCTGAATACTGTTCTATTTGCACACAGTGATAAAACCATCCTTGTCTTTCCTACAGTTGGCAGTATCCACAGACTGTATTCCTATCATCCATCGTTTAGAACAAGTATCTTCGGATGAACATGTAGGTTCACTTGCTGAGAATCTGCTAGAGGCACTCAGAGCACATACCAAGGTGGCAAGTCGCATCGAGGATGTTCGAGAACAGACACGTGCTGAGAAGAAACGTCTTGCTATGGCCATGCGAGAGAAACAGCTTGGGGCTTTAGGCATGCGCACCAATGAGAAGGGACAGGTATTGACAGTAGTCACAGTTGGTGAGGTCTACACTTGAGGTCTGATGTTTGATTATTCAGTGCTACCTTTTATAATGTTCCAGGTAACTGCAAAAAGCACACTTCTGATGGAAGATCTTGGTGAAGAGACTGGTCTTGTATGTGTGATTTGTCGGGAGGGATATAAGTTCCAACCCAGCAAAGTATTGGGAGTATACACATTTACGAAGAGGTGTAATGTAGAGGAGTTTGAATCTAAACCCAGGAAGACAGTTGGCTACAGCACTGTCACACATTTTAATGTGGTCCATGTTGACTGTCACATGGCTGCTGTCAGGTAAGTTAAATAATTCATTGAAGTGAAGTCCTTGAGAAGCTAAGATTTGTTATTGATTACAAGAGACAACCACTGTACCTGATTGTAAGCCAAATTAAGTTAAATTTCCATTCTCACACTCTGTTTCCTTAACTTATATCATATGGGGATGGAGTATTTAAACCTCCATACTGCAGGGCTGCCAACAGGGTTTTAACTCCGGCAAACCACCACAACACACATGTAACAGTGAATTTACTGCTTAATACTTAACTAAGTGAAAATATTTCTAATGAATAATCTATCCATAGACTCTGCTTTAATTTACTGGATGGTACCTACTTAAATCTTGTAATAAAGTTGTGGAATTTGAAATCAGGTACATAACAAGTGCTAGGAGATAAGGCTTCTGCTATGAAATTTTTTTTTACTAATATTGGTGTGTATAAATGTTCTGTATTTTTGTAATTGTTATAGTGTATCTTTATTATTTTGTGTTAACAAAATTATCTATCTATGGCATGGATAACTTGTTCTACCAGAAATATAAATCTGATGTCTGTCTTGTCACTTTAAGAATAGTACACTAGATTGTTACCAACATATACAGAAACATTGGTTTTATTTTTCCTTAATATGTGCTTAATTTTAGCACAGGTTCATAACATAAGTCTAAAATGTTTGTGTCTGTATCTAGACTTGCACGTGCTCGTGACGAGTGGGAGTCAGCAGCATTACAAAATGCTAATACAAAATGCAATGGGTTGCTTCCACTATGGGGTCCGCAGGTGCCTGAATCGGCATTCGCAAGCTGCTTGGCACGTCACAACACTTACCTACAGGAATGCACTGGCCACAGGTAATATTATTACGTTACAATGTGAAAGAAGCTGTTACTGTTCAGAATAGAAATGTTCAGTTCACATTCATGGAGTAATCCAGCCTCCTCTGGCTCTGTCTTTCTAACAGACTATTTCATGTCTTGATTGTTACTATTTCTCTGTTCATCTTATATGGTTCTCTCTGTCATTGATGTCTTAACATAACAACCTACGATCTACTCTTTGTATACAGTGGAAGTCCATTATAATGAGAAAACAGCAGAAATGTGTAAGGTCTGGGAATTAATTAGTGATTTATAACTGGTTTGATTGATAATATCTGTATATGTTCTATGTGAGCAAACTACTTGACACTTGAACAACCATTACGGGCAGCTCGTAACAGTTGCAGTTGAAGTCTTGGCCGTGCCTTGCTAATAACATTTATCTCATATTTCAGTTGTGGATAGAAGTTAAGATTGCTGAGGAAAGAGTCGGATGCATTTTCAGTTACTAGTAGAATTATTGTCAGTTTCATAGAATGTGATGTCACCAAAATATCAGGTTGTTTGCCAATTGCAGTGCACGTTGAAAAACGTGTAGTTCTCTAATTAAAATCCTTGTATTTTGTGTGTAAGATTGTGTTATATTTCTCCAGGGATATCAGCTATGCCTCAACAGTGCATGACCTGAAGCTGTTGCTGTTAAGGTTTGCCCAGGAGAAGAGTTTTCATGATGATACAGGTGGAGGTGGTCCACAGTCAAACATGCATATCATACCATACCTCATTCATATGGCGCTCTATGTCATCAACACGTGAGTTCAGTTTCTTGTTTACTGTATTAATCATTATAGTCCACTTTCTTGTGACTGAATTCATTAAAAAGGAAAAATGGTTTTTATGCTGAGAATCTTATAACTTTTATCACTGCTAATAACACATTTTGCTTCTTTTGTTGTTTAGCACATATTTCCTTGAACACTGAATTATAATTACTGAATAAACTAATGTATTTATTTTTTAATTTTAAATATTATGGAGTTCCCAAAAATTTAAGATCGTCTTGCAGCAATGATTACTAATACAGTAACTAATTAACTAACTGTTTTAGCACTCGTTCTGGTCCTCGAGAAGATAAGAATCTGATGTCCTATCTAGACAGTACTACACCTGATAAATGGTTAGAATCATGCTATGATGCCGAGGGCCCATTGTACTGGTCAGTACTTTCACTTTTACTGCATCCACCATCTCGCTGGAAGTGCACCCGCCTGTCCCATTTGCGACGACTTTTGGTCCTTGCTCAAGTTCGCCATATCCAACCTGCTGGACCTGCTGCTTCTCGTCTTACAGACCATACTGTCAAGGATTATGGTGTCTACAAGAGTTACATGATATTCTTTGGGCTTATAGATGGCATTTATGCAAACTACTTTAAGGTAAGATGCTTCAAATGGATTTTTGTAAACCATATATGTTGTCATAATGTTTTGTTCCTACTTCCCACTCACATAATGTGCAGTTTTCATAAAAAATTATTTTCTATTTCTCTAAGAAAATGTGCTGATTCTCTGTTACAATAATCATTTGGCCAGTCATGTTTAAGAAAATATAGCTGCAAATTCCATATTACTGAACATTATATTGGATAGTACACTTTGTTGTGAGGTCCTCTAAAGCAAACCAGAAATTGAATTAGAAAGAATTCTGCAAAGGTGTTACTTTTTGCATAATTTTGCACACAGTAAATAAATTGTATAAAACAGTGCTACATTATAAAAGAGTTGACTGATTTGATTTACATGTAATGTAATTAGAGTGGCATTCTAATTTATTTTTAAAAATGTATATACCACAAAATATAATGCAGAAATCCTTTCACAGCACAATAATTGTTCTGGATTAATTACATGGTACTGCATCTTTCTTGAGAAGTTGATAGTTTATCATTTGATCAAGAAATTTCTATTTGTAGAACCTGTCATCATAGAAACTACTATTGATGTTGAAATGTTTGAAGTGGATGTTGAAAAATTGTTGTATGTACACATCCTCAGGACAGAATTATAGAAATTATTAGAAAGTAGGCCACAATATAAATATGAAGGAATACCAATATCAAAAATAAGGTTCATAATTAAAGTAAGTGAATAATATATTGTGGTAGGGCATGTTGTTGGTCAGCAAAAATGTTATATTCATGTTTTTCACAATATTAACAATTAAAATGGATGCAACACATTTTTTATCCATATTTTTGTATGATTGTCAATGAGATATCTTGTATTTTGAAACAATTCAAATTGAAGCTCTAAAATTAAGAAGCTAAGGGAAGTAATTGCACATAAGAGAGATGAATTAAGTGAACAGTAAAGAAACTTAGAATGTCAGTTTTATTAGTGTGGGTTGGGCTGATTTTGGACAAAACAAACACAGAACGAAGATTGTGACAACTCAAGGAATCATTAGAATCCCAGATATGAGAGGGACTCACATTGTAAGTGTAGTGTGTTCTTCAAGATTGTCATCAGATTTGTCTTGCCAGGGTATTACCAGTGACAGGCAGTTAGTGTAACTGATTGTGAGACTTGTACATTTAAAATGCACATATACAAACAGAGTAAGTGGATTAAATTAAAATAAATGGGAACAGTTGACATAGATGAGAAGGTGCACATTCTGAATGAGATTTATTCAGCCAGGAGCACTGAACTTTTTGTTGTGGATCTCGGTTTTTCATGTAAACAGAAGTTACTTTCCATTTGATTATCTTTAAATTGCTATTTTGGTATTAAGTATAAAATGTGACGATCCCCAAGATGTACAGTACAGGTAACCCTCGATTTACGCCGGGGATGCGTTCCTGGACGAACCGGCCTAAACGGAATCGGCGTAAATTGAAACTCTTTTATAATGTAAATCAATGGGAAGTCAATGACATGCATTCCCAGCACCCAAACATTGACGAGTAATATAATGACATTACATTTAAAGCTCTGAAATAAAGTGAATAAAATAAAGGGAATTTAAAAAAATATATTTTATTCACTTACAATCAGCAATTCATTGGTCCCCGCGATTGACTGCGATTCTTTCATGTGATTGATGTGTACAGTCATCTCTGCTGTTATGTGATAGTTGCATTCACGTAAGACGGCGACCTATAGAAAATCGCGTAGTAAAAATAACCCCAGTACCTCCGCAGAGATGAAATTAGTCCTTTGAAAGTTTAAAGTGCCAGGAATGAAATTACATAAGAGCAAACTCGCATATGCAAAAGTTTGCATTTCACAAACAGCTTTTACCGATTCATCGATCTCATTGGAGCAAATGCGCGTTAACGAAACATACGTAATTTGCAGAGATGACTGTATTTGTAATTTTTATTCAAAATCAGCGATGTAAGAATTACGATTTAGTGTAAGAATCAGTATGAGATACATTGTAAAACGTTATAAATAATAGTAAAATATACTTTTTTCACTTTTTGACTTGCTGGTTTCAAAATCGGCATTATTCTGAATCAGCGCAACAAATCAAGGGCTACCTGTATATAATCATCAAATTGCTGCCAGACATTGGCTAGTAGACACCCAGAATGCAAAACATGTGATAAATCCTGACATGCAAGTAGTGAACAGATTTACAGTTGGTTTCTTTTCATTGTTCCAGAAAATAACTGTCAGTAGTGATGATCAGTGGCCCTCAACACTAGCTGATTACATCCGACATAATGATGAAGCTTTGGTGAAAGCATCTGAAAGACTGTTTGCAACTTATCGGGAAGAGTTGTTGCCATGTTCATCTTTTGAAGAGCTTTGTGATATATCTGGTATGTAGAAGTATCATTTTTAATTGGGTAAACTGTTCATCTGAGAACAGTTGCTGCTTTTTCCCCAAATAAAATATTTTGCTTGTTTTTTAACACTAATGCTAATTTTGTATTTCTCTTGTAGGTCTGTTGGGAGATGTTACAAATCCTGGCTCTTTTATCTCTGATGTGCTGAAAGGTCTGACTTAGTGCTCTTATGAGTGCAATGTAGAAAAAATTAAATGCTTTGAATGGATTTTGTTTCTTGTTTTTCTGACCACCGTAAGAACTTGCCTTTTGTGTATTGCATCATGTTTACAAAACAAAACAATTGAACACACTAAGTATAATTCATTATAAGTTTATACTTAAAAAAGCATGGTTATAAGTCAAAATGAATTATTGTGGTACTTGCTTTTGCTGTGAAACTAGAACAATGTTATATTTATCTGTAAATGGCTTCTTAAAGCTGAGTTTGGGGGTTTTAAAAATATTAAAAGTCTAGAATTAAATGCAGGTTTGGGTTTTTGGATACATTGGATCACATTCTTCATAAACATGAAACTGTAAACCAATAAAAGAGTTCATTGCTTGTCTTTTTAATGGGAGAAAATATTTGCTGCTTAAACAGGACACTTATGTAATTTTGTTTGCTTTGTTTTGTACACTTATGATTAACCACATATATTATTTGATCCATAAATCAGTGTGTTAGTACTTGTATATAGCAAATTATGTTTGATAAGATTATGCTGAATTTATTACATCTGTCAGCCATAGATATTTGAAAATACAGTATTAAATCTTAGAAAATGTTATTTAATTTAAATTGTTTTATTGTTCTTCATTTACAGGTTGCAATATGAGTTTTCTTTAATGGTGATCCTAATTTCTGTAGAAGTTTTATGCAATAAATGTGGTAAATATAAAATGTATATGTGCATATGTATTTTGTAACATACCTGGCAGCTACATTAAAATAATTCTGTTCAGGTGCATCAGCAGATGTTTTGACGAGAGATGCAAATGGGACTGTCATGTTTCCTTTTCTCTAATTTTCTCATCCCATATGTACACATTTCTTTAATCATCTCTTGCATACTGGTCCCCTTTACTTGTGGAACTGTTACTGCATTATTTCTACATTTGCTGTTAGATATGTATTTGTATATATATTAATTTGACAGTGCTTTATGCCTATATTTCTGACATTTTTGCCATGTGTCAATTGTCTAGGATTATTTTTCTTATTAGTCTTAGGGGTCCCAGGACTATCAATACCTGCTTGACCAACAAGGATATTTTCTGTCTCCATGATACTACTTATGATTTGTGTAATGAACTCCAACATTAGTGTCTCCAAGGAGAAGTTCCTGCTGTCATGACATTGCATTCTGTATTGATATAAATTTATATTGTGGCACTGTCATTCACTTTACATCCCACCGAACTTTCCTGTTTTACTAGCACACCTTGTTACACAACTACCTGACCCACTGAAGGTGGAATCTCAGGATGTGTCATAACTAATGGAAGAGGTTGCCCCAAGACAGTTCTGTTGAATTGAACCTTGTAAGCCCAAACATGGGTATACCTTCTCTTTTCTTTCTAAAGGAGAATTAAAACCATATTATTTAGAAATGTATTTTGGTACTTGCTGAGCTGCAAATTTAGAAGAGTTTATTATAGTAAATGCAAATTGGCTCATTATATAAGTTTTCAGAGAGCTGAATAGAAGCAGCAAAGATCATAAATAATCATAGTCATTGATACAAAAAAAATGTTCTGTCATCTAAATCATTTTGTAAAATTTTCTTGATTTAGTTGCCAATTTTCTGAGCATAAGCGTAAGCGAGTAGCTGGACTAAATATTTCTGTTTTGCTGGTGATTGTAACCTTCTGAATGTTTCCATTACTTTCTTCAGAATTGTTTGCTGTATTGTAGAGATGTGGATTATTCACTGTGAAGATCATTACTGCTAGTGTCATTACAGTATGTGGTCTGTAGTACATTTTTTAAAGTACAAAATCCTTGCCATCCATGAAAATTTCTTGTGAGGGTATATTATGCATCTTCAGTGGAGCAAGTACCATGCAGCATCTCTTTTGACAATCTACGATCTTTATTAAATATTATTGGCCAGTGACATTTAGTTTACCTTTGCCAGGATTCAGTCTGGATACATTTGAAACAAATAATTAATGAGAAAACCTTCGGGTAGTCTTAATTCTGTTTTTATATTTGTCATATGATAATAATAGTTATTAATATTGTTTAAAAATTTAACATTAAAGTAGGCCAAAATTACAATTCAAATAAGACAAAAAATTATTAAATTATTGTAAACAGATAATTTATTATCTAACTGTACAGTGAAGCTAAGGCTGTTTATTAGTGCAGCATTGGTATTCATTAACCTTAAAAAATTACAAAGAGCAGACAACATTATTTGAGGTTATATGATGGTTTACACTAGGTTAGAATACTAATACAAGACCTGCCATTTTTATCAGAGTAATAAACTTCTCAGTACCATTAATATTTGCATGAAATCAACACTGAAAGGATAATGCTTCACTACAAAGAAAAAAGTATATGGGCAGAATGGAAGAGAACTTCTAATAGTTGTAAAAATATCACATTTAGAATTTATTAAGATATTGAATGGAGACAGATCAAAAATATACACAGTTAAAAGAAAGGTATCACTTAATGTTTTACCAAAAGCAGAGCTAGAACACAATACTTGTTCATGTCATACCAATTAAACCATATTCATGCATACAAGCTAACAGGTTTGAAGGACAGTTGTAATAATTTCTCAAGTATCAGTAATTACACATTTCAGCATCCACATCCATTCATACTTGCACATCATTTGTGAAAATCATTCGAACAATATATCTAAAAATGTACAATTCCAAAAATAAAAGTTTCATACAGTCTCAAGCTGGTATTGCTAAACTGTTAGGTTAGATAAATTTTCCCTCTTAAACTGAAACTCTGGAAATGGAATTCAGATATTTGTGTAACAGTTTTTGTTCAAAGGCAGAAGAGGAAAAGCTTGTGGAAAATGCTTTTCATATAACATATTTCAGTTAAAAATAGATTGCATAAAAATGATTAATATGAACTACTTTTACAAATGTAATGTTTGCAATAATTGCCATATTAACTGTCACATCTGAACAATGAGTCTTAGGTAAATTACTTATGTTGAATTAATTTCTCCACCATTGAAGTTTGATAAGATATGTTTATTTTCACCATAGAACTAAAATGATGGGTTAGAAAAAGATGTTTACTGCTTGCAAATTCATAAGAAATAGTTATTTGTAGTGCTCTCTCCATACTAGTACTGTGTCATATCATAAAGTATTTATGAGGTGGGAGGTTTTCATAGTAGTGAAAATTTATCTTGTAATCTGGGTTGGAACACGTAGTAATGTAGGTGGTTACCAGTGTTTTGGAGTAATCTGCTGCCTCCATATTTAGGCTCTTAACATCCAAGGAGTCCTACCAAATGTCTAATAGGATTAAATGAATGAATGTGTACCTCGACACCTGCAGGTAAAAGAGGATTTAAAAAAAGAAGAAGCATCAAGTTCCTCAAAACATTGGTAACCTCGAACATGACTCCATTGTGTCAGCCCAGAAAGTCACAATCAAGTGGGTATAGCATGTCCCTTGAATTCACAAAGAAATAGCTTTAATAATTCCTAATGCTTTGAAAATTTATTCTTAGAGAGTATCTAGTGTAAGATGATGCATGGACTTAGTTTCTACCAAGAAGTTCTATACTGTTTTATGAACAACAGTACTCAACATAAAATATACAGTGTAATCCAGTTGCATATACTTCTTTTTCCAGTCGTTTTACACCAAATGTTACCTTTAGCACTTGCCCTTTCTAGTTCGTAGCTGACACGGGGGTTTTCTGAAAAGCACGTGCTTTCGTTATGAGTTTTCACCCTACTACTGAATGGAATTTGAAAAATCTATGTCCAACTCAGGGGTTTAGACTTGCAAATACTTTGGAAAACGAAAAATAAAAGTCTTTCTCTCGTGGTTTAATGGTACTTCATACCCAAAAACATAGATAAACCGATAAAAAAATGTTTCTGTAGCAGCTCCAGCCAGCTTGTCCGTGTTAATCTGGTCTTGGTTTAACGTGGCCCTTCTGATCGCATTTTGAAGAGATACGATGCAGTGTAGAGTTCCGGGGCAATCGAAGGGGCTACCTGATCTTGCAAACCAAGATGTTAAACTAAATCTCGACTACGAACACTACTGGTGTGCTGGCTTAGCGCACAGTATCACATTTATCGCAACTTGAATTGCGCAACATTTGTTGTACACGTGTGCCATATTGTGACTTGTACATCATGGAAGATGAAGTTTGTGACTGTTGCAGTCGACTCATTAAAACAGTCATTTTAGTATATAAATTTTGCTTCCAAGAAGAAAGTAATTGGAATAGGCAGATCAACCCCTTTTCTAAAAAAAATTGTGGACAGTTACAGAATGGGTTACACCTTCCTATGATTACTTCGTACAAAACTGAACTTAAAGACTTGGAAAATAGTCCGAACTTCTGTGACTCCGTGACGGATATTTCCACTAAAATATTGTCGCATGGAACCGAAATACAAGGTATGACAGAAAAAGGTAAGTTCACAAGTTGCTAACAATTTCTTCTTGGTTTACATTTTCTTCATATTGTGTTCGTTCAGTTTTAGTATAGCTGTCGTACTCAACTGCCAAATATTTCACGACCCCCCATTCGGATTATCTAATATTCCAGAAAGAACGTTCAGCCACTGGTCCGACTCCATTCGCGTAATGCTTGAACAAGACGCATGCGATAACGGAAGATTTTTGCCGATTGATGCGCTAGTACTTTGTGTATCGGACACACCTCCAGAGTTAGTCGTCTCTGGCTCTTCCTGGTAGGTTTGTTCGTACAGCGTATTGCCTCATTTTCGTTGTTTCAATCTAGCCGTACCCGAACGGATCACACTATATTTATCGTTGTTTGTTTATAAGAAGCACGTCGAAATATTTTCAGATTTTTTACATCTTTTTGAGAACTAAACATTTTAGATTTTTACTTATGTTGTCAAATGTTTGTCTTTCTAAACCAATGATTACAATGAGAATAAAAAAGTACCAGAATGGATGTAAGTACCTTATAAATAAAAAGAAAAGTAGTTGGAATTTGGAACCAAGCATTTTAGTCCATTCAAAGCAGTGATTTTAACTAAATCAGTTAGCTCTGTTAAGAAGTAAGAGGATTTTAATTTTAAATATACATTTTAAATTTTGTTGCAGTAATGAACAATAAATATTGAAGGTTTGTGTGTTGTGTGTCTATCCTATGAAGCCATTCTGCTATGTTTTTTTCAGAAATGGCCTTTCACTGACATGTTCTAAAAATGCACTTTAGGCATGTTAAATTTATTACTTGTATTTTTAAGAATACTGATAATCATGCATCCTCTTCTGATTTTGGTGTTTTCATATGATCATTTATGTCAAATTGATATCAGCATTATTACAGAGTCTATTCACAAGTACACATGAACACCAACTATGTGTTCTTGATGCATTGAACAGTTATACAACTTTTACTTACTAAGATTTATTGTACAGGAATAGGGGAATTTAAACCCCTGTAACATGGGACTGCTGACCAGACTTCAGCTACACATTTTAGTGGATTGGATCTGCAGCATGTGACCAGCTGGACTTCATGTAAGGCGTGCACTGCTGATAGAGGTAAGTTGGAATCTTGTCAGATATCAGTAGATATTAAATTAGTGTCAATGCAATGTCACTTGATTTTTCTTTCCTGAAATTTGATGTAATAGGAAAAACAGTGAATACTGCAACTAGAAGTTCTTTATGAGACCATTGTTTGGAATTTTTTGTTGTTTTAATAAATGCTTCACCCTATTTCATGTGTTCTGGAAGATTCTGGCATCTCAGGAATTCTGTACATATCATCACTTTTGGGATTATATATTTAACAGAGTTCAGATGAACTTTTTCAAGAAAATGGTCAATTTTGTCCCCGTGCTTTGCATAAAGTGTTCGTAGTTTCTTTAATTGTTCAGTAGTACTTTATATTCATGACACAAAGATTTTTCAGCAGTCCAAAGTTATAATATAATTCTAATTAGTATTCAGATACAAAGGAGAAAGAAGTACAAAGCTCTTTCTTTTTTTACATGAATTTAATTCCTCTTTCAGAACTGTTATTTTGCAGTCTTAATTTCACGTTTTAAGGTGGACAACACCAATAATGGATCAGTATCAAATTGTAACAAATGTTCACTCTCTTGTCACTGTTAATTAGCATAAAATCTGACATAAAAATTAAAATGCACATAATGCATAAATAAAACAAACAAAAATAATTGTGACATATTTATGTACTTCCAAGTTGATTTGTTTGTGGTACATAATAACTGCTTTATACATACATACAAAAGCTTCAAATCTAACTTGGCAGCATAATTTCTGTTAGAGGCAAAAATGTCAGTTTGGTGAATGAGACTCTATAATACATAAGGGCACAGTTTGTGTGATTTAAAGTTGCGTTTTTGAAATTTTTAAGACACTGCACCAGTAAAGAATTTTAATTCCATGCAATGTAGAATCTTCAGTGAGTGTTACAAATTGTACATAAACTGAAGAATATTTTTGTAATATAATAATGTTCTAAAGCAGCTGTGGCAGAGAAATTGTAAGGGGAATGTTAAGCATTAAGCCTAAATGAAACAATAAGACTGGAAATGTTTTCCTGACACTTTAGAGAAGTTGTGTGAAGTTAAGTGATAGTGAAACTGAGCTACAATACATATCATTACCAGTTTCACCAATGGTAAATTTAATGTCTCTTACTAATATTATTTAGTGTTTAAGTTTCCTTGTTTCTTATCATTTGGTGAAACCCACAGAATTCTGTAGTTGCCAGGGGCAAGCCTCAGAGAAAATAATTTTATACTATCTAAGAGTTATTTGATAATTCAAACACTATATGTTATAGTGGAGCATGAGGACATACTGTGACATTTTTTTATTTAATTGTTCATCATATTTCCATGTAGTACTAATTTTCTTGTGAAAGTCACTGTTTCTTTATTCTTACACTTTGCTTCTGGAATACAGTTTCTGTTAGTGTAGAGAAAGTTAAGTTAAACGAAGCCCCTTTAACAAACACTGCTTTCAGTAACTGTCAGTTAAACTTGTACATTATAAAATATTTCAGACCCCTTCTTCATTTTTCTATGAACTTTGATCATAAACAGAACAATGTTAAATTTAGCCTATATTAAATTTTTTTCTGAGAAATGTAGTTACATATTTATTTGTCCTTTCATTCATTCTGTTACAATATTTTGAACTTAAGACACATTTATGCCTAGCTAACTATCACTAGTTGCTCTACACAATGTACTCAAAGTCAAAATACAGTTTTATACTACAGATCCAGATTCATTATACAATTTTAATAAAAGTAATTGTTTTGCAGCCGACAACTGAATGTATTTAACTTATATACACAGTGTACTGAGTATATGATTGTTTTACATAATATGAAAACATGCAAGCAGATATGCAACCAGTCAGAAGTGACTGTTACTCTTATTTACTTTGAGCACATTAGGATTAGATTTCTTAAAATGCTACATTTTT